AGTGTGGCTGATAGCCCCAGAAGGTGGGGTGAGCTGTGGGGAGGTGGAACCTAAGCCCCATTGAGGTCTTCTGTGCCCGTTAGACCTTCAAGTGTAAGTGAACTGGTAGATGGGCCAGTGTTGAGGATATCATGGAGGTCACAGTGTGTTTGAGGTTCTGTCTAATGAACTGCCCTGAAAACTCAACATCAGGAATGCAGTCATTTCACAAACTAGGGGCTATCTGTAAGCTGCCAAACCACAGAGGCTTAGGGGTGGGTGTTAGGGGTAGGATACAGATGTGGAGCCATGTGTGTGCAACCTTTCGTACTGAATGGTATTTGAAGAACTCATGTGTCCTTTCCTCCTTTTGGAAAATCGCTCTCTCTCTCTCTCTCTCTCTCTCTCTCTCTCTCTCTCTCTCTCTCTCTCTCTCTCTCTCTCTCTCTTAATACTTTGTTTCAGTTCATAAAAACATGATCCTGGGAACCTGTGGAGGACCTTAACCACACATACACATCCTCTTTTCTAGTTAGGCATTGGAACTAAAAGCTAAACCAAGACAGGAGATCTGAAGACCTTGTGAGAAATTCAAGAACCAGCGATACAAATCATCCAGCTCTGCCCGTGTTATATAAAGGGTTTTGCCTGCACCATGTCATCCTTGCTTTATTCAGTTTCATTCCTCCCCCACCAAGTGTCCCAGTTTCTCTTCTGCTGTAGCTGATTTTGAGCAAGACAGAGAGAAACTTAGGCTTTTACATCAAGCATTTGGGTTCTCTGCATTTGGTTACTCATCTCTTAAGTGACAGTAGACAGTCACGTCACCATTTTTAAATACCTTTTATTAATCATAGAAGATAAGATGTAACGGTAAAATACAAGCTGTTACCTATATATCCAAGCAGCCTGAGAGATAAAATTGTTCACCACCTTGTCTTTCTGCCCAGCCCTATGGCTATGTTTCTAATTAGATCTATCGGAGCTGTTTGTGCATTTGACATAAGCGGTATTTTGTGGTAACCATTGCATGATAGCTTATATTTTTTAATAATTCTCAGAGGCTGCATATTATAGTACATCATGGAGGCACTTTAGGGGAAAACAATCCCTGAAGATTTCACTAGTTGGCAAACCCTTTTAAGATTAAAAGCAAATAAGACCTCAAAACCTGAATCATCTTTGGAATACTAAGAAACTCAAATTTTGTGTTCCTAAGATCTTGTTTTGACTGAAGTCACTCTTAACTTTTCATATTCCTTTTGGCTATATTACCTAAGCTTTAATATCTTTTAAGTATACTTTTCCATGGCTTAAGAAACAGACAGCTCAGTGTTTAAGAGCACTTACTGCTCTTGCAGAGGACCTGGGTTCAGTTCCCAGAACCACATCAAATGGATTAGTACTGACTGCACCTCCAGTTCTAGGGTATCCATGGAGTCTCCTCTTCTGACCCCCCGCGGACACCTGCATGTACCTGGTGTGCACCCATGTACACACATGCACACACACAAGCAAAATAATAAGTCATAAATAATATATCTTACATCTCATTGGAACATACTGATCTAATGTCACCCTTTTTTATGACCTAGATGTGTAAGATAGGGGTGTGTGTGTGTGTGTGTGTGTGTGTGTG